ACCATAGCTTCTCTATTAATCTCACAAATTGGTTGTTATTTCATTTCCTTCAAATATCTTTTTTTTTTTTTTGAGATGGGTAGTCTCTCTTGCTTTGTCACCCAGGCTGGAGTGCAATGGCACAATCTCGGCTCACTGCAACCCCTGCTTCCCGGGATCAAGTGATTCTCCTGCCTAAGCCTCCCGAGTAGTTGGGATTACAGGCACCCACCACCATGCCCAGCTAATTTTTGCTATTTTTAGTGGAGACAGAGTTTCACGTGTTGGTCAGGCTGGCCTCGACCTCCTGACCTCAAGTGATCTGCCCACCTCAGCTTTCCAAAGTGCTGGGATTACAGGCATGAACCACCACGCCCAGCCCTTCCTTCAAAGATCTTAAATGCATCTTAAGAACCAAACCCTTACCTTTTGTTAACCGTCTCTCTTTTCCCATAACTATAAACATCAGGAAGGCAAGAACTTGTTTCATGTTTCTATATCCATAGCCTAGAATGTCTTTATCATTTGTGCTGAACTGTCTATGTTTTGATACTACAACGCCAGGTCTATGAGAGCTGTTAAAAAAAATTAGCATGAAGAGAAATATGGCTTGATTTAACAGTGATTCTGTCTTTGCACCTTGCTAGGTTTGTGGTCTCTGAAAACTTATCTACACTTACAGGACTCTGCTAGTACACAAAGGAGGAAAAGAAAGTATTATATCGTTTGCTAAAGACTAAATGAACTTACATATTTTAACTGAGATATTTTGTGGAAAACATTCACCAATACACCATGAGAAATATTTCTATGCTTAGATAATAAGAAAGGTTAAGTCCAGTTCCACAGGACTAGGATCTGACCTCACACTCAGGTAAAGCCAAGTCTTATCCTATTGAAAAGAAAGATGTCACACTTCCTTCATCAAACAAATCTACTCAGCAACCATGATGGATCTAAACAAAAACAAGGGCATTCTGTAACCATGTCTCGAAAAATGATAAAAGAGAACAGAGTTGAAGCCATTAAAATGACCAAAATTGCCCTCTACTCACTAATCCAAGTGAGTGGTTTCCTAGGAATTAGGTTTAGCTCCACTTCATTCTTCCTGCCTCTAGATAAGAATTATGATTACCAGTGATACAATTAAGTTCACCTCACAGCATACAACACCCAGAAGTGTCTCAGTTTGGGGATTAGCAATCAAGTCACCTAACAAAAATCCAAATTCAAAAAGAAGTCCTTTTAAGCACCCTCTTTTTTTTTCTTCAGATGGAGTCTTACTCTGTCACCCGGGCTGGAGTGCAGTGGTGTGACCTTGGCTCACGGCAACCTCTGCCTCCCAAGTTCAAGCAATTCTCCAGCTCAGCCTCCTAAGTAGCTGGGATTATAGGAGCACACCACCGTGCCCAGCTAATTTTTGTACTTTTAGTAGAGACAGAGTTTTACCATGTTGGTCAGGCTAGTCTGAAACTCCTGACCTCATGATCTTCCCACTTAGGACTCCTAAAGTGCTGGGATTACAGGCGTGAGTCATCATGCCCAGCCATCACTCCTCTCCTGACTACAGGTATGATGCTGGTGATCTTTGGAAAAAAGGCACTGAAACAACCATGATTTAAGTTTTTGGTATTATTAATGCATGATAAATTGGTTTTGTGGGAAAAAGTAATAACTATATTAAGAATAAAAAATTAAAAATTCCTAGCCAGGGGTAGTGGCTCACACCTATAATCCCAGCACTCTGGGAGGCCGAGGCACGTGGATCACAAGGTCAAGAGATCAACACCATCCTGGCCAATATGATGAAACCCCATCTCTACTAAAAATATAAAAATTAGCTGGATATGGTGGAACATGCCTGTAATTCCAGCTACTTGGGAGGCTGAGGCAGGAGAATCACTTGAATCCAAGAGGCAGAGGTTGCAGTGAGCTGAGACTGCACCACTGCACTCTAGTCTGGTGACAGAGTGAATCTCTTGTCTCATAAAAAATTTTTTTAATTCCTAAGGATGCACTGGTACAGTGGCAAAAAATAAAAAACAAAAAATAAATTCCTAAGGAAAATACTTGACCTTACATGCACATAATATTGACTCAGAATATATGAGGATTAACTCAATAAACTTAAAAACTTAATCTGAAAATCTATAATTACAATGGAATATTTTAATATATCCTTGTACAAAATGAAAGAGACAACAATTGGTAGCATACAAGTTATTTTAAAACAGTTAATAAAATATTTCTAAGAAATATCTATGGAAGCTTTTGTTCAATAAAAACATAGACATAGTTTTTAATCACATACAATGAAACAAAACTGAAAGTATAATGAGATTACATTCACCTGTAATAAAACACTGACAATTAGGAAGGTGCTTATTCTTACGCTGTAGGACTGGGTAAGTGCATTCACTGTGCAGTGCAGTAGAGGAACAAACACCCATGCAGTTCTTTTTGACTGCACCACTGTAGTTGTCATGGTGGAATCAGAAACACATAGTCACTGGTACTGTTAACAAAACATGGTGTTCACATAAATAATACCTTCGATAAATTCAACCTAGAGATGAGGTGAGTCAGAGCATCAGAGAATATTCCCAACCTTAAGAGTCTAAATAGTTGCCTAGTGGACACATTAGAGTTTCTAGGAAAATCCAAACTGCAGTGCGTATCTGAGAACTTTTGGAGGCATTCTGTGGAAAACCACATCTTTGAAAATACAGCAGTTGGGGCCAGGCACAGTGGCTCACACCTGTAATCCCAGCCTTTTAGGAGGTGAAGGTGGGCGGATCACGAGGTCAGGAGTTTGAGACCAGCCAGGCCAACATGGTGAAACCCTGTATTTCCTAAATACAAAAAAATTTAGCTGGGCGTGGTGGCAGGTGCCTATTATCCCAGCTACTTGGAAGGAGGCAGGACAACTGCTTGAACTTGGGAGGCAGAGGTTACAGTGAGCCAAGATTGTGCCACTACACTCCAGTCTGGGCAACAGAGCAAGACTCCATCTCAGAAAAAAAAAAAAAAAAAAGAAAGAAAGATAGAAAATACGGCAGTTGGCCGGGCGCGGTGGCTCACGCCTATAATCCCAGCACTTTGGGAGGCCAAGGCGGGTGGATCACGAGGTCACGAGATTGAGACCATCCTGGTCCACATGGTGAAACCCCGTTTCTACTAAAAATACAAAAACTAGCTGGGCATGGTGGCGCACGCCTGTAATCCCAGCTACTCAGGAGGCTGAGGCAGGAGAATTGCCTGAACCCAGGAGGCAGAGGTTGCGGTGAACCGAGATCGCGCCATTGCACTCCAGCCTGGGTAACAAGAGCGAAACTCCGTCTCAAAAAAAAAAAAAAAAGAAAGAAAATACAGCAGTCAAGCAGTTAGTGGTGGTTCTAAGAATACTCTCAATTAGCAGAGCAAAGGATCAGGAAAATGTGGTGGAAGCAGGTGTCCCTGAAGCTCCCATGCATCCATCTGTCTCCACATACAGTGGCTATAAAACCTGACTAATGCTTTCTTCACTTCTGCCTTCCATATCTCCTGCAAGTAGGCTATTAGTGAATTATACCATGGAGCCATAAAAGAAAATAGAAAACATAGGTCAAAACATTACCCATGTTAACACAATCTAGGACAGCCATTTCCAGCGATAGGTTATATGGTTCTATCTCAGGTCTCTCTTATTATTGCAGTCTAGTATCCAAATCACAGCCAGAAGGAATTACAAATAGCAAAGAACAGAAGATGAAAATAATAATTCCAATGAGACAGTCTACTATATGATAAATTTTGCATACTCAAAAATTTATTATGATTATTTTCTTATGAAAAAATAGAAAAAAGGATACTCTGCCCTCCTCTAAAAAAGCTTCTTTTGGTCAGGAAGAAAGATGAAATACGTATAATGATATCTAGTACCTGCCACATAAGGCCAGTAGGAAATCCTAAAGATTACCAAATTGTTATTTTTTGATGGCCCCTTACAGCACAACTAAAAATATATATATATAAATCAAAACTACTAGCTTATTACAAATACACTTCAATTCACTCATGAATCTAACAGACTTCAATATGGAAAAATAAAATTTCAGTAACTTATTTAATGAAAAAATACTATCAATACAACTGTTTAAGAAGAGCTTACAGAATTATCTCATCTCAATGTTCTTTTGCAAAAGTAATAAATAGAAATCCATAGTTCAGAGATCCACTTTCAGAATAAGTAACTGATAATACATTTATAAGTTTTATACCATTTCTGTCGTGTGAATTTTCTAGAACAATATACATGAATTAATTTGCATCAGGCTTTCCCATATTATCTACATTTACATAATACCTCCCTATTGGGAGTTTCAATATGAGTTTGAAGTTTCACACATAAGGGAGTATTCACATGAGCATTTGTTAAAATTGAAAACATTGTTATTTCTCACTTTCATAGGATTCCTATCCAGTCTGCATTCTCATATATAAGTATGTGGGTCAACTGAAGGCTTTCTCACAATGCCTATATTCAAGAAATTGCTTTCCAGTACAATTTTGTCCATGGTTTCCAAGTAAACTGAGACAAATAAAGGTTTTCCACATCCTTTACATTTATATGGTTTTCCACATTCTTTACATTTTTAAGGTTATAAATTCTTTATGTTTATAGGGCATATGAAAATTCCTTACATTTCATATGCCTTATCATGGTCCTCAAATAGTCATATGACCATTGAAGGCTTTTCCATACTGCCTACATTCGCAGGGTTTTCTGTCCAGTATGAACACTTCCCCACAATCACACCTAGAGAATTGAAGATATTCCCATGTCTTATATTCATTCATAGGGTTTCTCTGAAATATGAATAGTTTCATGTCTTCAAAAGGAAATGGGGGCTGGGGGTGGTGGCTCATGTCTGTAATCCCAACACTTTGGGAAGACGAGGTGGGTGGATCATCTGAGGTCAGGAGTCTGAGACCAGCCTGGCCAATGTGGCAAAACCCCATCTCTACTAAAAATACAAAAATCAGCTGGGCATGGTGGTTCACACCTGTAGTCCCAGCTACTCAGGAGGCTGAAGCAGGAGAATCGCCTGAACCCAGGAGGCAGAGGTTGCAGTAAGCTGAGATCACGCTACTGTACTCCATCCAGGGCACCAGAGTGAGACTTCATCTCAACAACAAAAAGGAAATGGGACAACTGAAAACTTTGCCACATTGCTTAGATACATAGGCTTACTCTCCAGTATGAACTCTTTCATGTACTCGAAAGGAACGGGAACACTTGAAGGCTTTACCACATTGTTGACATGCATAGGGTTTCTCTCCAGTGTGAGTTCGTTCATGGATTCTAAAGGAACGCGAGCAACTGAAGGCTTTATCACACTGTTTACATTCATAAGGTTTCACTCCAGTGTGTGTCCTTTCATGCATTCGAACAGAACTAGAACAACTGAAGGCCTTACCACATTGTTTACACTCATAAGGTTTCTCTCCAGTGTGAGTCCTTTCATGTATTCGAATGGAACTGGAACAACTAAACGCCTTACCACATTGTTTACATTCATAGGGTTTCTCTCCAGTGTGAGTCCTTTCATGCATTCTAAAGGAACTGGAACAACTGAAGGCTTTACCACACTGTTTACATTCATAGGGTTTCTCTCCAGTGTGAGTCCTTTCATGCATCCGAAAGGAACTGGAAAAACTAAAGGCTTTACCACACTGTTTACATTCATAGGGCTTCTCTCCAGTGTGAATTCTTTCATGCATTCGAAAAGAACTGGAACAACTGAAGGCTTTACCACACTGCTTACATTCATACGGTTTCTCTCCAGTGTGGGTCCTTTCATGTATTCGAACAGAACTGGAACAACTGAAGGCTTTACCACATTGTTTACATTCATGGGGTTTCTCTCCAGTGTGAGTCCTTTCATGCATTCTAAAGGAACTGGAACAACTGAAGGCTTTACCACACTGTTTACATTCATAGGGTTTCTCTCCAGTGTGAGTTCGTTCATGGATTTGAAATGAACTAGGACAATCAAAGGCTTTCCCACATTCCTTACATTTATAAGGTCCATTTCCAGTGTGCATTATCATATGTCTTCGATAGCTTGGAAGAGAAATGAATGCTTTCCCACATTCTTTACAATCATAGGGTTTCTCTCCTGTATGAATTCTTTCATGTTTTCGAAAGGAACTAGGAAAACTGAAGGCTTTGCCACATTTTTTACATTTATAGGGTTTTTCTCCAGTGTGAATCCTTTCATGACTTCGAAAGGATGTGGGACAACTAAGAGCTTTACCACATTGCTTACATTGATAGGGTTTTTCCCCAGTGTGAGTCCTTTCATGTATTTGAAAAGTTTGATAATATCTGAAAGCTTTTCCACATTGTTTACATTCATAGGGTTTCTCTCCAGAGTGAGTTCTTTCATGGTTTCGAAATGAACTGGGATGGCTGAAAGTTTTCCCACATTCTTTACACTTATAGGGTTTCTCTCCTGTGTGCATTCTCATGTGTCCTCGAAAGGTTGTGTGATAAATGAAGGCTTTCCCACATTCCTTACATTCATAAGGTTTCTCTCCAGTATGAGTTCTTTCATGTATTTGAAAGGAACTGGGCCAACTGAAAGCCTTGCCACACTGTTTACATTTATAGGGTTTCTCTCCAGTGTGAGTTCTTTCATGTATCCGAAATGAACTTCGAAAGCTGAATCTTTTCCCACATTCCTTACATTCATATGATTTCTCTCCATATTTTTGATACTCATATGATCTATGTTCACTGTGAGATCTCATGTGCCTATTAAGAGATGAATGACACATATAGTCTTTTCCACACACGCTGCATTCATATGGTTTTACTCTAGTAAAAGTTTTCCTGTTTGTTTTAGGATTTGGAGTCTGACTGATGGCTTCTCCAAGCTGATTACCTTCTTTCCTTTCACGGAACCTCTCTACCATATGACTTCTATAAAAAAATAAGCACACAATTAGGGTCTTTTTAAAAATGATAATTTTAGGCCGGGCGCGGTGGCTCAAGCCTGTAATCCCAGCATTTTGGGAGGCCGAGGCGAGTGGATCACGAGGTCGAGAGATCGAGACCATCCTGGTCAACATGGTGAAACCCCGTCTCTACTAAAAATACAAAAAATTAGCTGGGCATGGTGGCACGTGCCTGTAATCCCAGCTACTCAGGAGGCTGAGGCAGGAGAATTGCCTGAACCCAGGAGGCGGAGGTTGTGGTGAGCCGAGATCGCGCCATTGCACTCCAGCCTGGGTAACAAGAGTGAAACTCCGTCTCAAAAAAAAATAATAATAATAATAACAATAATAATTTTATAATCATGATTTCACAATCATTAATAGGTAGTAGAATTATACTTTTGCCATTTTTTTTTTTAAAGATGGGGTTTCACCCTGATGGCCAGGCTGGTGTTGAACTCCTGACCTCAGGTGATCCACTCACCTCAGCCTCCCAAAGTGCTAGGATTACAGATGTGAGCCACCGTGCCCGGCTTACTTTTGCCATTTTCAGGGGAGTGTATGTAATGAATGTTCAGGAAGAGTACTTGACCAGAGCTACTATCAAAACAATAAAACTCATAATATAGTTACTTTTTTTGAGACGGAGTCTCACTCTGTTGCCCAGGCTGGAGTGCAGCAGTGCAATCTCGGCTCAATGCAACCTCCGCCTCCTGGGTTCAAGCAATTCTTCTGCCTCAGCCTCATGAGAGCTGGGATTACAGGTACCCACCACCACACCTGGCTAATTTTTGGGTTTTTAGAGAAGGGGTTTTGCCATATTGGCCAGACTGGCCTTGAACTCCTGACCTCAGGTAATCCACCCATCTCAGCCTCCCAAAGTGCTGAGATTACAGGCATGACCCACCATGCCTAGCCAAAATTCATAATATAGAGTTTCTTAATATTGTTTCCAAGTGAACTACTTTCAAATACTGAGCATCTGTGCCATTTTTAAAAGAGCTTTCTTGGCAAAAATTTTCTAAAAATAAATAAATATAAAATGGGGCTTATTTGTTTCTATTACTGTTTTTTGTTGTTGTTTTTTTGGTTTTTTTTTTTGAGACGGAGTTTCACTCTTGTTACCCAGCCTTGAGTGCAATAGTGTGATCTTGGCACACCGCAACCTCCGCCTCCTGGGTTCAAGCAATTCTCCTGCCTCAGCCTCCTGAGTAGCTGGGATTACAGGCATGTGCCACCATGCCCAGCTAATTTTTTGTATTTTTAGTAGAGGCGGGGTTTCACCATGTTGATCAGGATGGTCTCGATCTCTTGACCTCGTGATCCACCTGCCTCGGCCTCCCAAAGTGCTGGGATTACAGGCGTGAACCACCGCACCTGGCCCTTTTTTTTTTTTTTTGAGACAGAGTCGTGCTCTGTCGCCCAGGCTAGAGTGCAGTGGCCTGATCTCAGCTCACTACAACCTCTGCCTTCCAGGTTCAAGCGATTCTCCTACCTCAGTCTCCCGAGTAGCTGGGATTACAGGCACTGACCACTGCGCCTGGTTAATTTTTGCATTTTTAGTAGAGACACGGTTTCACCACCTTGGTCAGGCTGGTCTTGAACTCCTGACCTTGTGATCCATCCACCTTGGCCTCCCAAAGTGTTGAGATTACAGGCATAAGCCACCATGCCTGGCTCAATTACTCATTTTTAAAACTTAATGACATGCTAAGAGTCTCTCATGGAACAGTATTTTCTTTTGTAAGCACAACTCACCTTAGCTTTCTCCCCTGGTTTCTGTGATCTTCAATGTTCTTGTCCTCCCAGTTTTCCCCTAAAATGCAGGCCCAGAAAAAATCATTACAACTATTAGAAATTAAATAAAAATTATTAGATTCCAAATCTATGATGAGCTGTTACCCTGTATGATTTATTTACCAATGTATTCCCTTTCAACATTCTAAATCTTGGAACCTTGTTCATGAGCAAGAAACACTTGTTCTCTAATTGACTAGGTGAGGGAATAATTTCATTCTTACCTATAGAGGCCAAGTTAACAAAGGTTTCTTGCATCACATCTCTGTAGAGTTTCTTCTGAGAGGGACCCAGCAAAGCCCACTCCTCCTGGGTGAAGTTCACAGCCACATCCTCAAAGACCACTGAGTCCTGAAACATCTCACATGTATAGAGGAGGATGGGTGAGACTGACAGCACTGGGGATATATACTCAATTTACAAAAAGTTCATATTTAATTCCCTTTTCTCCATTTATCCTGTAACTTTGTCATCAGAACTCAAATATCTGTCCATGCTTACTTCTTCATAAATTTAACACTGCCATGAATACTTGGAAATTATTTCTACATTTTTACTGTGATTATTTCAAGTCTATGCTCTGCAATGACAGGATACACAGCACCTTGGAGAAATGCTATACAAACCAAGCAAATATTTCCAGTTTAAAAACAACAATTCCTTGTAGGAAAAATACTTTTTATCTCCTGCCTTATTATGTACCATTTCACTCAGCATCCTATGAAACACAGGGTCAAATCTGTATGAGATTTTAAAGAATAAGTATATGCTGAACAACTGTACATTTTTTCTTCTATCCCCACTATTACACTGAGAAGCCAGAGGGCATGCACAACTTGTAAAAACATCTTGCTGGCCATGCTGTCCTCAAGTACTGCAGACCATTAAATTAGACAGATCCAACTGTTGAGTGAAAATATTCTTTTAGTGAAATTTTAATTTTACCTTGTGTAATATTTATCATGTACCCAGTATTTCTTTTTTCTCCCTGTCCCATGTTAGATGTTAGCGCACAGGCAGGAGGAATAAGGCATGCCAACTTAGATCTTCATAAATATTAAATCTTTAAAAAATCTCTATACTCATGGGATGCAACCATTGCTAACCCACATAGGATGGAGATGATAAGATGCCAGAACAGCTTTTTGCCTCAGAAACCTAACAGTGTAATCTGAGATTTGCTGACCTTGAGTAACAGGTTAACAGCTGGCAATTTGCAAGGGAGTTCACTGAAGTCCACAATGGTTTCATACTGAATTTGCTAACGATTACAAAATTCAAAGGGTTCAGCAGTGCTGTCCTCCAAAAGGATATGAAATTCCCTTTCTCCAATTTCAGGAAGAAGTGATTCTCAAACAGCTACTCTAGAGACCAGTCATCCTTCCAACTTCTCTCATTTTAAGCTCCCATGAGGGGCACGGTGGCATGAGATCCCGACACCAAAGCATAAAAATCCCTCAGTGGCATAATTCCCCTAAATCTTGGCCTGTGAAAAAGATAATTAACCTACTGATGTCCACATGCAGGGGACAGAAAAAATGCTCCCAAACAGCAATTCTGATACTAGAATTTAACTATTAGGTAAAGTAACAGAATATCTACATCTTTCTTGTTGGTGGGTCAAGGGAGTAAAATGAGCTTATCAGGTGAGCCCAAAATGCTCCTTGCACAGTGTTTCTGTAGCATTTGTTCAAAGAAATTCCTACTACCTAGTGTGCAGAAGATTAGTAGTCTTACTTTACTAATGTTAACCTGAGACTACTTACCCTTAAATGCCTAAGGCCATATACTGAATTCATAAAAAGTTCACATATGATTCTGTGGTCTCCAAACATTTGTTGTCCTTCACCGGTATCTGGGAAGTGAGAATTTGGGAAGGACTCCATCAACCTAAGTGATAAGAGTGGCTTAGTGGGCCTAAATGGTTATGGAATCAACAGAGTATATATTGAACTGCTTTCTTCTTTCTTAGAGTCTGGACTTTTTCACATGCTAGGCAGAGGTTGTCTACTTGATCAGCCCCCAAAAGGCACTCTGAGCACTGGGTCTCTAATGAGCTTCCCTACCAGACAATATATCATATCACAACTTGTTGCTTGGGGAATTGAGCCCATTCCATGTGATTACATGAGGAAAGAACATTTAAAGGCTTGCATCTGCTTTCCTCCACACCAACTATGACTAAATAAGACTAATGAAGGATATTTAATAATCCTAATAAAAAATGTTGTTGGGTAATGTCAAAGCAGAATGAAATAATTTAAAAGTTGGTACATGCTCTTAGAACAGTGTTGCCAAGATGCCATTGTTCCCGAATCTTATCTTTTAAAAATTCTACAAATCCCTAAAACAGCCTTATTAGGAGTCAAGAAATACTGCTTTTCAAAACCTAAGAGGAATAATAAATGTCAAACAATGAGTAAAGTCTTTTGAAGAATAACAAAAATACTTGCCTAGTATGTATCAAGGATTTTCAAACTAAAATACTCCAAACAGCAAGACACTAGCAGAGAGATAAATAGAACAAGGGAGGGGAAAAGAGTCTTCAGTGAACTGACATTTATAAGGAAAATTGATTAATGATAGATCAAGCATTGTAGGGTAGTGGAGGAGATCACTAGCACTTTAATACATGTAGAAGGGACAAACTGTTATCTAATTGGAAAAATGCATTGCATCAGCTCTATTCCATAGACAATAATCAATTTATATAGATTAAATGTGAAGAATATAATTTAAACTCTCTTAAAAGTCACAGGTAGGACGCCGGACGCGGTGGCTCAAGCCTGTAATCCCAGCACTTTGGGAGGCTGAGGAGGGTGGATCACGAGGTCAGGAGATCGAGACCATCCTGGTCAACACGGTGAAACCCCATCTCTACTAAAAATACAAAAAATTAGCCGGGCATGGTGGCACGTGCCTGTAATCCCAGCTACTCAGGAGGCTGAGGCAGGAGAATTGCCTGAACCCAGGAGGTGGAGGTTGCGGTGAGCCGAGATCCTGCCATTGCACTCCAGCCTGGGTAACAAGAGCGAAACTCCATCTCAAAAAAAAAAAAGTCACAGGTAATTTTTATTTGAGACGGGGTCCTGCTCTGTTGCACAGGCTGGAGTGCAGTGGTGTGATCTTAGCTCACTGCAACCTCTGCCTCTTGGGTTCAAGCAACTCTCTTCCCTCAATCTCCTGAGTAGCTGGGACTACAGGCGCACGCCACCATGCCTGGCTAATTTTTTGTATTTTTAGTAGAGACGAGGTTTAACCATGTTAGCCAGGATGGTCTCAATCTCCTGACCTAATTATCTGCCCACCTCGGCCTCCCAAAGTACCGGAATTACAGGCATGAGTCACCATGCCTGTAATTTTTTTTAATGCAAAAATATGGAGAATTTTCTCATATAAGAGTAAGCCATGAAGGATGAGACTGATAAGTTCAAATATACTAAAATCAAGAAAGTTAAAGAAACCATAAAGCAGGAGAGAAGTATCTGGCATACAAGCAATATAAATGAATCAGTATGCTGAGTAAAAATAAATGGTCAGCCATCGTGGCTCACACCTGTAGTCCCTGCTACTCAGGAGGCTAAGGCAGGAGGATTATGTGAACTCAGGAGTTAAACAACGCAATGAGCTCTCATTGCACCACTGCACGTCAGCCTGGGTAACAGAGTGAGACTCTGTCAGTAAGTAAATAAAATAGCCAAATAAATAAAAAGTGAACACATGACTTAAAAATGGGAAAATAATGAGAACATATTTAACAGAGGATGACACAGCATATATGAAAAAAGGTGTGGCTGGGCACGGTGGCTCACGCTTGTAATCCCAGAACTCTGGGAGGCTGGACTGGGCAGATCACTTGAGGTCAGAAGTTTGAGACCAGCCTGGCCAAGACGGCAAACCCTGTCTCTACAAAAATTAGCCAGGTGTGGTGGCACGGGCCTGTAATCCCAGCTACTCAGGTGGCCAAGACACAAGAATTGCTTAGGCCAGGGAGACGGAGGTCACAGTGAGCCAAGATCATGCCACTGCACTCCAGCCTAGGTGACAGAGTAAGACTCTGTCTCAAAAAACAAAACAAAACAAAACAAAACAAAACAAAACAAAACAGGAAAAGGTCCATCTCTCTCCCTGATATAGACAAATGAAATATCAAATAAATAGATCCAATTTCTTACATATTAGAAGGACAAAAATCAGTCAATTAGACACTCCCAAGTATTGGTGACCACTGCTAATAAAGAAATAGTTACACACGAATGGAAGGTCAATTGATATACTCCACTGCTATTTCCTGTAAATTTGAACTTGACCATAATCTATAGCACAGTAATTTTTCTCCAACATCCATAAAAGTTATCGTGTATTTGTACTTAGAGACAGATACCAAAATGAAAGGATCGGTATTTTTCACAAGAGCAAAAAATCAACTTGAAAAAAGCCCAAACACCACCATCATTGGATTGGATAAAGTTGGATTTCTTCGGCCTCAGTCACTATCGTGTGAAACACAGAGGCAAAGGAACCACTCAAAAACCTTTTCATTGTTAATTCCATTAATACTCATTTATTCAAAGTTCAAATAAGGCTCAACTAAAAGTATATCACATAGTGAAAAAGAATAAAAGATAAAGGTATAAAGAATAATCAAATAATCAAGACTGTGGCCATCTATGAAGCAGCATAGAGATAAGCCAGAGGAAACTATCAAGAGACTAATGACTGACCAAGGCTCACCTATCAATTTATATTTTTAAATCATTTATTGAAGTAATGATTGACATAAAAAAGCTGTACATATTTAATGTGTACAACTCAATGAGTCTAGGGTAAGTATATACCTATGAAACCATCAGTATCATAAGGACATAGACATATCCATCACAAAGGTTTCTTTCCCCTTCATTATTATTACTATTTGTGTGTCTCTCTGTGTGTTAAGAATACAACATAATATCTGTTTTAGAAATTTTAGGGCCAGGCACAGTGGCTTACACCTGTAATCCCAGCACTTTGGGAAGCCAAGGTGAGAGGATCACTTGACACCAGGAGTTCATGACCAACATAGGTAACATAGTGAAACCACATCTCTAGAAAAAAACGTAAAAATCTTAGCTGGGTGTAGTGGCATTTACCTGTAGTCCCAGCTCCTTAAGAGGCTGGGACAGGAGGATTGCTTGAGCCCAGGAATTTGAGGCTGCAGTGAACCATGATTGCACTACTGCACACCAGCCTGGATAACAGAGCAAGATCCATCTCCAAAATGAACAAAATTGTAAAAAAATTTAAAGGAATGTTTAACTATAAAATAGTTGTGTTATTAGCTATAGGTACTATGCCATGTAGTATATCTT